GTATAACAGAATCTGATATTGTGTGGGAGTGAGTATAACAGAATCTCATAGTGTATGGGAGTGAGTATAACATAATCTCATATTGTGTGGGAGTGAGTATAACAGAATCTCATATTGTGTGGGAGTGAGTATAACAGAACCTCATACTGCGTGGGAGTGAGTATAACAGAATCTGATATTGTGTGGGAGTGAGTATAACAGAATCTGATATTGTGTGGGAGTGAGTATAACAGAATCTCATATTTGGTGGGAGTGAGTATAACAGAATCTCATAGTGTGTGGGAGTGAGTATAACATAATCTCATATTGTGTGGGAGTGAGTATAACAGAATCTCATATTGTGTGGGAGTGAGTATAACAGAATCTCATATTGTGTGGGAGTGAGTATAACATAATCACATACTGTGTGGGAGTGAGTATAACAGAATCTCATATTGTGTGGGAGTGAGTATAACAGAATCTCATACTGCGTGGGAGTGAGTATAACATAATCTCATACTGTGTGGGAGTGAGTATAACAGAATCTCATATTTGGTGGGAGTGAGTATAACAGAATCTCATAGTGTGTGGGAGTGAGTATAACATAATCTTATATTGTGTGGGAGTGAGTATAACAGAATCTCATATTGTGTGGGAGTGAGTATAACAGAATCTCATATTGTGTGGGAGTGAGTATAACAGAATCTCATACTGTGTGGGAGTGAGTATAACAGAATCTCATATTGTGTGGGAGTGAGTATAACAGAATCTCATAGTGTGTGGAAGTGAGTATAACAGAATCTCATATTGTGTGGGAGTGAGTATAACAGAATCTCATACTGTGTGGGAGTGAGTATAACAGAATCGCATATTGTGTGGGAGTGAGTATAACAGAATCTCATATTGTGTGGTAGTGAGTATAAAAGAATCGCATATTGTGTGGGAGTGAGTATAACAGAATCACATACTGTGTGGGAGTGAGTATAACAGAGTGTCATACTGTTTGGGAGTGAGTATAACAGAATCTGATATTGTGTGGAAGTGAGTATAACAGAATCTCATATTGTGTGGGAGTGAGTATAACAGAATCTCATATTGCGTCAGAGTGAGTATAACAGAATCTCATATTGTGTGGGAGTGAGTATAATATAATCGCATTTTGTGTGGGAGTGAGTATAACAGAATCGCATATTATCACTGTGTTATCAATGCCATACCTGGACAATAAGGAGGAAAGAAAGATTACAACAACTGAAATGAGATTCATGCGAAGGGTTCTCACAATAACAATAACAGATAGGATCAGAAACAATGAGATTCTAAGGAAAATAGGAGTAGCAGCAGCTCTGGATCTCATTAGAAGACAACAGGTGAAATGGTTTGGCCATCTAACGCGGATGTCAGCAGACAGTATACCACAGGAAGTAACAGTGCACAGACCAGACGCGTGGCGAAGAAGAGGCCGACCAGGCAAGCGATGGACAGAGGGAATCCCCGTTTACTAAGCACACAAACTGGCTCTTTCCTGTAAATTATACTTCTGCTCGACCGCAAGGTACAAAAGGGTCAAGGTGAGATTAAATTTGATGAATGTCTGTTCGGAGATTCTTTGCTTGTTTATTCTTATGATGTCTGAATGTTCTTCTTGGAATATTCTCGAAAAAAAATATATAGAGGCGTTGAAGTTGTGTGTTTTTTCTTCTCTTCACCCAGCCGCAAAGCCCATGGTATTGTGTGCCAAACACTAGCCTCCAGATTATCAACGAGACATCGGCCAAATTAATTATTTCCAACGTGACTTTCGCGGACAGCGGGCAGTATACATGTTTTGCCGGGGACACGCTTTGCCAGTTTGGCTTCAGTTCTACATTTCCTTCTCTGTTTGGCTATTTGGATGACGTCAACATCGAGTGTGAGTATTGCAGTCATGTTTCTCCATCCCCTAGGGCAGTGGTTGTCAACCTTCATAACGCCGCGACCCTTTATTACAGTTCCTCGTGTTGTGGTGATTTCCAAACTGAAAAAATAGTTTTATTGCTACTTCATAAATTCAGTGAAAATGTATTTTCCGATGGTCTGAGGCGATTTCTGTGAAACCCTCGTCCCAACAACAGAAGGGTCACGGCCCATAGGTTGAAAACCGCTGTGCTAGGGGATTGCGGGAGGGGAAAGAATGGAAAAAGGGGGGGGGGGGGGCAGCCTAATTTCTAGAAAAGTTTCCGGTTAAAGTCAAGAGGATCGACTTTACTGCACCAGGTTCTATCCATCCCCTCTCTCTCTCTCTCTCTCTCTCTCTCTCTCTCTCTCTCTCTCTCTCTCTCTCTCTCTCTCTCTCTTTGTCTATCTGTCTCTCTCTCTATCTCTCTATCTCTTCCTCTTTCTCTCTCTCTCTGTCTGTCTATATATCTCTCTCTTTCTCTCTCTCTGTCTCTCTCTCTATCTTTCTCTGTCTCTCTCTTTCTCTCTGTCTCTCTCTCTTTCTCTCTGTGTCTTTCCCTCTTTCTCTCTGTCTCTCCCTCTTTCTCTCTGTGTCTCTCTCTCTTTCTCTCTCTCTCTGTCTGTCTATATATCTCTCTCTTTCTCTCTGTGTCTCTCTCTTTCTCTCTCTGTCTATCTATATATCTCCCTCTTTCTCTCTGTGTGTCTTTCTCTTTCTCTCTCTCTATATATCTCTCTATATCTATCTCTATATATATATATATATATATATATCTCTATCTATCTCTGTCTATCTTTCTCTTTGTGTTGTGTCTACTAGTGACGAGTTTGTGTGAATGGTGTGCTTGCGTGCATAGTGTGTCTGTGTCTATTGGTTGTGTCTATGTGTACGTATTGTGTCTGTGAGAGTACGTATGCCTGTGTTTATTGAATCACTGTGCGTTGTCTGTGTGAATGTCGTGTCTGTGTGTATGTCGTGTCTGTGTGTATGTCGTGTCTGTGTGTATGTCGTGTCTGTGTGTATGTCGTGTTTGTGTGTATGTCGTGTCTGTGAGTATGTCGTGTATGTGTGTGTGTCGTGTCTGTGAGTATGTCGTGTCTGAGAGTATGTCGTGTCTGTGTGTATTTCGTGTCTGTGTGTATGTCGTGTCTGTGTGTATGTCGTATCTGTGTGTATGTGTGTATTTCGTGTCTGTGTGTATGTCGTGTCTGTGTGTATGTCGTGTTTGTGTGTATGTCGTGTCTGTGTGTATGTCGTGTCTGTGTGTAATTCGTGTCTGTGTGTATGTCGTGTCTGTGTGTATGTCGTATCTGTGTGTATGTCGTGTATGTCGTGTCTGTGTGTATGTCGTGTTTGTGTGTATGTCGTGTTTGTGTGTATGTCGTGTCTGTGTGTATGTCGTGTCTGAGAGTATGTCGTGTCTGTGTGTATTTCGTGTCTGTGTGTATGTCGTGTCTGTGTGTATGTCGTATCTGTGTGTATGTCGTGTCTGTGTGTATTTCGTGTCTGTGTGTATGTCGTGTATGTGTGTATTTCGTGTCTGTGTGTATGTCGTGTCTGTGTGAATGTCGTGTCTGTGTGTATGTCGTGTCTGTGTGTATATCGTGTCTGTGTGTATGTCGTGTCTGAGAGTATGTAGTGTCTGTGTGTATTTCGTTTCTGTGTGTATGTCGTGTCTGTGTGTATGTCGTGTCTGTGAGTATGTCGTGTCTATGAGTATGTCGTGTCTGTGTGTGTGTCGTGTCTATGAGTATGTCGTGTCTGTGAGTATGTCGTGTCAGTGTGTATTTCGTTTCTGTGTGTATGTCGTGTCTGTGTGTATGTCGTGTCTGTGAGTATGTCGTGTCTGTGAGTATGTCGTGTCTATGAGTATATCGTGTCTGTGAGTATGTCGTGTCAGTGTGTTCGTGTTGTGACTGGGTCTTTGTGGTGAATACCAGCATCTTTTAAAACACTTTATGATGAGGATCACACCTTTCTCTACATTTTGCAGTTTGTACCAGCACCTGTTTGGACACTTTATGGGGTTACTGGCACTTTAGAAAAAAGCCGTGAATTAACAACTTTTGTCCCAGAGCATTTCTGTTGACCACTTCAAACCGAGGTATCGATTGCTTCACAGCTCAGCTGCTCACCGAGTTTATTTACTGTTCTGTTCTTGCAGACATGCCTCTATAGCTTAAAGGTTAGTGAATTCTTCTTCTTCAGCATTTCCAGCCCTTGAGGTTGACGGCTGCAGATATCACCCGCCTCCACTTGTCTCTCTGGTTGGCCTTCTCTCTCCAGGTGTTGACACCAAGTGTTTGCTGGTCTGTCTGGACATTATCTCTCCATCGTCCTCTTTGTCTCCATCGTGGTCTACGACCATTATTCTGCATGGTTTGTACAGTTTTTACTTCTGGGTCATTTGACATTCTCTAAATATGCCCCAACCATTTCAGTCTATTAGCTCTCATGATGCCAGTGATCAGTGGTGATTTAAACAGATTATGCATTTTGTTGTTGCTTCTAACTCTTCATTCACCGCTGTTTGCATCTTTGATGGGTCCAAAGATTCGTCGTAAGACTCTGTTTTTTGAAACTTGTAATAATGTTTCATCTCTTTTAATTGTGCTCTAAAGTTTCAGAGCCATATAACACGACTGGTCTTATCAACGTTTTATATATCTTGATCTTGGTATTGCGAAACAGACACTGTGACTTTACCAGATGTTAAAGGGCATAGTATACTTATATATACATGTATACATAGTTTCGAGGTCAGTGAATGGGTTTAACAATTTCATGATTCCAGCGCTCGAGGGTTCCCTTTCCTAATCACGATTTCACGTAATCATGATTTTTAGAAGATGGTTCGAGAGTTGCACCGTGGAAGCGATGGGAGTCCCACCACGTAATGTTTCCACAGACTACAGTGAGTACCTTGTAGGCAACCTTCATTGTGGAGACGGCACATAATTGTTTCTCCTTCTTTCAGACACTCCGCAAGCTGTGACCGACATCCGGTGTGTGGTGTACAACTGGGACGAGTACATGGTGGTGTACGTGGCAACATCCGGTGCAGTACAAAAACTGGTCCAACATGGAGGTCACTCTGCTCTACTCCAACACCAGGTAGCAGACGTCGTTTCATCTCTACGGTAAATTTTACGCTCGTCTCACCATTAGCACACCTACACACTAGCCCGCTTCTGATTGGACGGCCTTCTGACCACCTTACTTCTGATAGGTCCTCCTCGAACAATCCGACAAGGTCACGGGGATATTCCGCACTCGCGCTCATACAGCGTGTTGTATATTTCACCTTGCCAGAGCTTTTAACACTTCTAAAATATTTAGATACTGGGTCTAACACACAGCCCCTCTAGAGAGTGACAAAACCTATGTCACAGGGATACTGGGTCTAACACACAGCCCCTCTAGAGAGTGACAAAACCTATGTCACAGGGATACTGGGTCTAACACACAACCCCTCTAGAGAGTGACAAAACCTATGTCACAGGCTGTCTCTTTCTCGGAAATAAAAACGTGAATGCAAGACAACAACAGGCTGCGACACCCATAACCTCGACCACGGTAGACTAGTCCAACCAACTTATCAATGAAGTTGACCTACAGCCGTTGATGTGCAAATGGAGAGACCAGCGTAAAATACACCCATCTGTACTATTAAAACACACACGCGCGCACAAACAAAAACACACATACAACACACACAAACACACACACACACACACACACACACACACACACACACACACACACACACACAAGAAATAGACAAATGCATAGCTAATGAAGGGACTGTAATTGTAAGATGATTCTGACCTTCAGAATCTGTTTCATCTAGGAAAATTGCATACAAGAATACATTAGGGTTCAACCAGTTAATGGGTAGTTCTTAGTGCTGTTTGGTCATTGATAGTTTTTAGACGCAAGGGCTTTTCAGTCAACTGCGTAGATAACTAAGTAATTTTTGTTTCAAAATATATCTGAACATTTTGTAAATAGGGAGTCCTTTTTTTTTTTTTTTTACTGGTAAATGTTGAATTAAGAATCGACACCCTAGCACTCAGAACACGCCCATAAGCGTCCTGTCCCTTCTTCAGCAGCAAAAAAAAACTTTTTTTTTAAATCGTTCACCATACTCATCACTGATAGCTGCGAAGTTTGATGTGAAGAAATCCAGATGAGAATCCAGAAAAAAACATTTTAAAATCTTTTGTATTTTAGTGATGTTCCACAGTGTGTGTGTGTGTGTGTGTGTGTGTGTGTGCGTGTGTGTGTGCGCGTGTGTGTGTGTGTGTGTGTGTGGAACACACAGCCCCTCCACCATCTTCTACTGGAACACACAGCCCCTTCATCTTCTACTGGAACAACAGCCCCTTCATCTTCTACTGGAACAACAGCCCCTCCATCTTCTACTGGAACAACAGCCCCTCCATCTTCTACTGGAACACACAGCCCCTCCACCATCTTCTACTGGAACACACAGCCCCTCCACCATCTTCTACTGGAACACACAGCCCCTCCACCATCTTCTACTGGAACAACAGCCCCTCCATCTTCTACTGGAACACACAGCCCCTCCATCTTCTACTGGAACACACAGCCCCTCCACCATCTTCTACTGGAACACACAGCCCCTCCACCATTTTCTACTGGAACACACAGCCCCTCCATCATCTTCTAATGGAACACACAACCCCTCCACCATCTTCTACTGGAACACACAGCCCCTCCATCTTCTACTGGAACACACAGCCCCTCCATCTTCTACTGGAACACACTGCCCCTCCATCTTCTACTGGAACACACAGCCCCTCCATCTTCTACTGGAACACACAGCCCCTCCACCATCTTCTACTGGAACACATAGCCCCTCCATCTTCTACTGGAACAGCAGCCCCTCCATCTTCTACTGGAACACACAACCCCTCCATCTTCTACTGGAACACACAACCCCTCCATCTTCTACTGGAACAACAGCCCCTCCATCTTCTACTGGAACACACTGCCCCTCCATCTAATACTGGAACACACAGCCCCTCCATCTTATACTGGAACACACAGCCTCTCCATCTTCTACTGGAACACACAGCCCCTCCATCTTATACTGGAACACACAGCCCCTCCATCTTCTACTGGAACACACAGCCCCTCCATCTTATACTGGAACACACAGCCCCTCCACCATCTTCTACTGGAGCACACAGCCCCTCCATCTTCTACTGGAACACACAGCCCCCTCCATCTTCTACTGGAACACACAGCCCCCTCCATCTTCTACTGGAACACACAGCCCCTCCACCAGTGGCCTCCAGACTTTTCAGCGGCGCCAACCCTCCCCTTAGGGTGTAGGGCTAGACACACCTCCTCCACCACGCCCCACCCCCAATGGATCTCATAAATAGCATGACGATAGTCACTGAATGAATTTCGAGAGTTACAGGCATCAAGTGGGTTCTCGGCTACAAGTGGACTGAACAGAATTATCCCATTTAATGAATAACATTTGATTGGAGATGCTCAGTATTTTTAAAAGTTTGCTTTTTTTTTTTTTTAATGACTGAAATGTTTTATTTATTTTTATCCACTAAATTTCAGTTTAAACCTCTATCGTATTTAAAATCACGGTTTGTGCTTGTGTGCATGTTTGCGTGCGTGTGTGCGTACATGTGTGTGTGTGTGTGTGTGTGTGTGTGTGTGTGTGTGTTGTGTTTTGGTATTACATAAGTGTCCTACAAACCTGTCTCTTCCCTAGAGGAGACCCAAACATCCCATGCCCTCAGCAGACAAACACCGATTGTCTCTGGCTTGACTTCCCCGCTGCTGATGCGACTTACAAAATTCAAGTTCAGGTCACTAACAAGCCCAAACAGCAAACCGTTTCAGTTCCATTTGCATGCAAAGTAACTCAAAACAGTGAGTGGCATTTCCCATCTCTTGCTACCTATGATTTATTCGTATTTATCACATTATTATTATTATTATTATTATTATTATTATTATTATTATTATTATTATTATTATTATTATTATTATTATTATTATTATTATTATTATTATCATCATCATCATTATTATTATTATTATTATTATTATTATTATTATTATTATTATTACTTTAAAGTAGTAGACGTAGTGGTGATGATGGTGACGGTATGGGTAGTGGTGGAGGTGGTGATGGTAGGGGTAGTGGTGGAGGTGGTGATGGTAGGGGTAGTGGTGGAGGTGGTGATGGTAGGGGTAGTGGTGGAGGTGGTGATGGTAGGGGTGGAGGTGGTGATGGTAGGGGTAGTGGTGGAGGTGGTGATGGTAGGGGTAGTGGTGGAGGTGGTGATGGTAGGGGTAGTGGTGGAGGTGGTGATGGTAGGGGTAGTGGTGGAGGTGGTGATGGTAGGGGTAGTGGTGGAGGTGGTGATGGTAGGGGTAGTGATGGTAGGGGTAGTGGTGGAGGTGGTGATGGTAGGGGTAGTGGTGGAGGTGGTGATGGTAGGGGTAGTGGTGGAGGTGGTGATGGTAGGGGTAGTGGTGGAGGTGGTGATGGTAGGGGTAGTGGTGGAGGTGGTGATGGTAGGGGTAGTGGTGGAGGTGGTGATGGTAGGGGTAGTGGTGGAGGTGGTGATGGTAGGGGTAGTGGTGGAGGTGGGTGATGGTATGGTAGGGGTGGAGGTGGTGACGGTATGGGTAGTGGTGGAGGTGGTGATGGTAGGGGTAGTGGTGGAGGTGGTGATGGTAGGGGTAGTGGTGGAGGTGGTGATGGTAGGGGTAGTGGTGGAGGTGGTGATGGTAGGGGTAGTGGTGGAGGTGGTGATGGTAGGGGTAGTGGTGGAGGTGGTGATGGTAGGGGTAGTGGTGGAGGTGGTGATGGGTAGGGGTAGTGGTGGTGATGGTAGGGGTAGTGGTGGAGGTGGTGATGGTATGGGTAGTGGTGGAGGTGGTGATGGTAGGGGTAGTGGTGGAGGTGGTGATGGTAGGGGTAGTGGTGGAGGTGGTGATGGTAGGGGTAGTGGTGGAGGTGGTGATGGTAGTGGTGGAGGTGGTGATGGTAGGGGTAGTGGTGGAGGTGGTGATGGTAGGGGTAGTGGTGGAGGTGGTGATGGTAGGGGTAGTGGTGGAGGTGGTGATGGTAGGGGTAGTGGTGGAGGTGGTGATGGTAGTATTAATAGGGTTTTGTCTTCTAGAAATAAAGGTGCCAGTACACATCACAAAGTGCCTAAAAAGGTGCTGGTACTGACAATAAAGTAACTACTAAAGTAACGTTGGAAAAACAAATGCTTGAAATGGTCTTCCCCGGACATTTCCATGTATCCGTTTCAGGCTACATCGACCAGCAAATGCAGGCCAATGTGGGGGGAAACAAAGAAAAAAAATTAACCTCACGCTCTTGATGAGGATTCGAAAGTATAACTATCGGGCAGCCACCCAAGCAAGCTAGTCACTGCGCCAGCAAGTATCTATATGACTTTAACAAAATGTCATTGAATTTAACTTCAGTGAGTTAACGAGAAAATGAATTTGTTTAAAGCTGCCAGGCTAGTACAATGTCTATGTATACTTGGGCAGAAGAATCAAATGAAGCTAGAGAAATACAGTTTTGAACTTTTTTCTGCTTTTGCTTTTTCTTCTTCTTCTTTCGTTCGCTTGAAATAGATTATCTGCAATGTTGTCTCTAATATGAACTTCACTGTCTGTTGTAATTCAGTCAGCGACCCGCAAAGTTCGGCTTGTGTTTCTCTTATTTTGAACTGAATGGCAGACTGAGAGATTGACTGATGTGCTGACTTACTGACAGACTGAATAACTGACTGATAGACTCACTGAAAGACTGAATTATTGACTGAAAGACTTATTCACTGATAGACTGAATGATTGACTCATAAACTTCCCATGAGTTGAGCTGAGTTGATTCAAGAACCCACATCACAGCTCTTGGGGCATTCCCATAAGCGCTCCGTCCCCATCTTCAGCAGCCAGTAAAGAGTTCCGATACTAATGGTGCCAGCTGCATTCTGATTAAACGTCCGTCTTGCATTTCCTCCGAGCCCCGAGCATCTGCCAGAACCTCTCGTCATTCCCATCAATCTCACTAGGCAGTGGTGATCCATCTGCTCCTCTGAACTGTACAAGCTCTCCCACAAGGCACTAACTACGCCTGCCTGATCATGCATTAGTATTCTACCAAGTTGTGCAGAGCCAGCCAGTCTGTCCACCCTTTCATTTCCCAACACACCGGCGTCTACCGTGAAAAATCTAGAGGAGAATCGTCTAGATTTTTTCACCGTGTCCTCCGCAGTGAAGCATGCCACTCTGCACGAAGCATGCCTGTCCCGACCTTTGTCAGCATTTCTTACCATTTCATTGGCTTAATAATATATTGAAAGCCTGACTGAATGACTGGTAGACCAACTATGTGATAGACTGACTGACAGACTGACTAATAGACTGACAATAGACTGACCGACTGATAGACTGACTGATAGACTGTCTGATTGACTGATAAATCGAATAAATGATTGATAGACTGACTGATAGATTGACTAACTGACTGACAACTTCTCTGTACCAAGCTGCTTCTTGAATGTGAAACACCGTTGCAGTGTGCTCTGTTGGCAAGTCCCTTATTTGTGAGATTGATTTTTCAGTTAAACCTGGCCCAATAGAAAACCTGTCAATAGTATCAGAAAGACCCGGATGCTTGGTCATCTCCTGGACTCATCCAAGGGAAAACCGTAGCAAAGTTTACAGAATCAAGCACACCAACGTGACGGATGGGCAGCTTACATCTGAAAACTGGATAGTAAGTATAACTAGCTCCTAACTCTCTGGTCTCTTTTGTTTCAGTCAATCGGTCTTAGAGGCTTGCTTGTTCTATTGCAAGCAGCGCGCAATTTGTAGATGGCTTTGTTCTTCACTCTTCGTTTGTCTTTCATCCATACTGGAGCACAAGTCTTAAAACCTATTTACCGTTATTGGTTTAACTTTCTTCAAATGAAAATATTGTTCGCAACAAGACAACCCACACAGTCTAGTGGCCATGTGATTTCTCGTGTCTCGTTTTACTTGCATATTCTGTTGCAGCAGCAGCAGCAGCAGCAGCGGCAGCAGCAGTAGTAGTAGTAGTAGTAGTAGTAGTAATAGTAGTAGTCGCAGTTATTATTGTTGATGTTGTTGTGGTTTTTGTTGTTTTGATAGTAGTATCATATCCAGCTTACCCCATGTCCTCTCTCTCTTTTTTTTTTTTTTTTTTTTTTGTACTTCACTCTCCAGTTCCCATATCTACATGTTATATGTGTCTCCCTTTATTTCTATAGCCCAGAGGCGTCCAGTGCTCTAGTTAAATTGTTTCTTTGTTTTCTCAGCGTGTGTCCTATCCAACGCCAGCGTCTTTTCATCCTAGCTAGATTACTGTAAATGGTTACTTGTATAGGGGAATGTAAAGACGATAAGTAAATTCAAAAAGTATGTTCCGGTTACGAATGTAAAGTACACACAATGAATTCAGAGAATATTTCGTTGACTGAAAAAGCTCAACACGGTTTAATGGGGGGAAAAGAGTCCGACTTGTAAAACGTGCGACAAAACTACTGACGTAAATTTGTACGTTTCGTCGCAGGTCGACCCAGACTAAAATGGGACAGCCTGTTAGGGAAGTAAAAAACGGCGTAATGCTGACCACATTACCCTTCCAGTGCCGATACACATATGAGACGAGGAATAGGAGAGAGAATCTTTACTTTTTTTTTAACTTTTATATGTTATCTTTGATACGACGTTGCAGAATCAACCAACGCCCATAGGCCAGGAGTAAAAAATATACACATAAATAAATATCTGGAACAAGACTGACTGATATTTTTAGCACTTTCAAGTCTGACTAAAATTACCAGATGATGGTTAAAATAGAAAGTATTCGCTATTTCTTCTCATTGCAGGTTCTGATTGATAACCTCACAAACAGCCATTACAACTCGTGTGAGTACAACACAAGTGAGTTTCGCCCTTACACACATTACAACTTTTCCGTTGACTGTCTTCCGTCTGGCATCTACGCAGGCTACTTCAGTGACCCTGTGTCCCAGGATTTCTGGACGCCAATGACAGGTGATCTCATGTGTCTTCGTGGTCGTCTTCTACATCTGTTTTGGTGCTTTATTAGTATCCTTCCCCAAACAGGGGAAATCCAGAGGTCACGGGAATAGTCTAATATTTCAGGGGGTGGTAGATAGGCTGAATGCAGTCGTGGGACCTAGGCTGCACTCTCTCGTCGGATGTAGGTGAGTTGGGGTTAGGGCCAGTTCTAGATATTTTGGGGTCGTAAAAAGCATCAGAAAGGGGAGTCGCCGTGGCAGAGCGGCTAGACGCGTGCCCCGGATCAGAAGCTCGTGGGTTCGCTCCCTGGCGGAGCCTGACTTTTCTTCAAAAATGACCTTGGCTCCAAGGTCGACCTAGCCTTGACTGGGTACCGGGTGCAGTACCGGCAAGTAGAGGCGGCCGGCGTGATGCTGACCACATCACCCATCTTGTGCCGTTGGTCTACAAAATATAGGTCTAGTCTTATATGCCCTATACGCCTAAAGGCGTAAAATGGATGTCAGAGTCATGGAAAGTAAAAATAGCTAGCGTGATATTGCCAACATCACTTATCGAGTACCAACTGGTATACAAAAAATATGAACCTAGCATATGGTCCTTTATTTGTTTACTTTAAAAGCACCAGAAAGCCGGCAAACCCAGCCTTACCACCCTCTAAAATGTTGGACTTCCTGTGACGTCATCTGGGTTAAGATATTTATAGAGAACCTCTTTTTTGTTTTAAATCGTCATCATTTTTATCTTATTTAGCGGTTTACCCATTTGTCTTTACATTAATTATCTGTTCTTGATGTCTTCGTCAGCATCGTATCATCATTATTGTTATCATTGTCATGATTATGATCACTATTAGAAAAATCGGCATCGTCATCATTCTTATCTTATTTAGCGGTTTCCCCATTTGTCTTCACATTAATTATCTGTTCTTGATGTCTTCGTCAGCATCGTATCATCATTATTGTTATTATTGTCATGATTATGATCACTATTAGAAAAATCGGCATCGTCATCATCATCATTGAAAGCAACACAATCGTCATCATCAATATTAATAGGCAAATATTGGCCACTTGTCGTTCTCCTTCTCATTATCTTTCCCTAATAATCGTTGCAATCATTATTATGTCTAGTATTCACGCTCTGTGCTTTGCTTTCCTTCTTCTCAGTGCACGAATGGTTTTCTCCTGTAAACTTTAGCGGAGTGTTGTGATTGTTCATCAACTTGTAGATTCTAGTCTTGTTCCAGAACCTGAGTGTTGTGATTGTTCATCAACTTGTAGATTCTAGTCTTGTTCCAGAACCTGAGTGTTGTGATTGTTCATCAACTTGTAGATTCTAGTCTTGTTCCAGAACCTGAGTGTTGTGATTGTTCATCAACTTGTAGATTCTAGTCTTGTTCCAGAACCTGAGTGTTGGTGCACATCCGTTTTGCAGATCTGATTCATTTGTATGCAGACTGCTGTTTCCTTGTCTCTCAGGTAGATGCAGATCAAATTCGAATGAAGCTCCCAATTAGTCCACTCTTACGACACGCTTGTTAGGTAGGCAGTGGGTCTATTCTTGTTTTCCCCCACAAAGGTGCCGTGAAATCTGCATTATAATTTATTTATTGTTTTCTGTTTTGATTTAAAGTTTATTAATTAAATTGAAACATCTTTTAATTCTTTATTTAGGTGATGTCTTCACCTTCTTCAATTAGATCGTGATCTTTTAAAATGAAAATAAAAGCTTCAATGAACACTAACAGATGCACCATTCAGAAATAACATTTGCATACTAAGTAGTTCACTTTCGGGTCACCGTATCTTTCAGGTAGCTGCAGTGCGCACATAAAAGTTAACGGTTCAAATCGACATCTACTATAAACATGACCTTTGCTCCCAGGTCGACCCAGCTTAAAATGTATTCCAGAGACCTGGAAAGTAAAAGCGGCCGGCGTGATATTGCCAACATCACTTATCGAGTACCAACTGGTGTACAAAAATATGAACATAGCGTAATATGCCAGACACAACACTGGCGTGACAAGAGTGGTTGGCTTTCCTTATTTGACTGTATCGTTTCTCTCCTGCAGCTCCAGATCTGGGACCGTCAGCGACAAACGGCAGTTTTACCTCCACCCTGTGTGTGGACGGACACAGAAATGTGACTCTCATGTGGCAGGTACCAATGATTTACTTCTCTGGTAACTCAACAACTGCTAGTAGTAGCCCATTTTACCCCACTAGGACATCACACAAGCGGTAAACGACTTCCGGTTCCGACTTTGATTGGAAATAGATGACGGTTGAGAGCTTGGCTTATGTTGACCGTTCTCGTCGCTGTTTCTCCTACAGTTTCGATTGTGGAATACCGGTATGCAGCCGGGGCTACTAAGTTTAGTGCTCCTGATGGCACTATGAGCTGTGATTATCGGTTATTGACTAAGTTCCAGATTCGTGCATAATGGCAATGATGGGTGGTGTATTTTTCTTCGTTGTATTCCTGAAACAGGGCATGTGCTATGGCTGTTTTCCAATCTGTGTTAAATATCTAGACCCTCTATACGCACCCCTGTTGAATCAGTCTTTTAGTATATGGATTCCTTGTCTGTTCTTTGGCACTGTCCATTTGATCCCATAGAGCCTTCACCAAATCCGCATTATCATAAAGTATCTCACCACCCATAGAAGCGGAAGCAGCTAATCTATCAGTCTGATCGTTACCTCGCACACCTTAATGTCCTGGAAAAAAAGAGTCCATGATATGTTCCTGATCTGGGTCTTATCGAGTGATGCGTCAAGTGTGAAAAGTGATAAATGCAAAAAGAGTGTTACAGTTTCTTCAGATATTAACATCTACAGCAGTATCAATTTACACCTGTTAAATACAGCGTATTGTTATAGCGGTATGGCTCTTGATCTTAAAACAAAGAGATTTGCAAAAAACAATAATACTACTGCTTCTGTTGCTGCTGCTACTTCTGCTGCTACTGCTGCTGCTACTACTACTACTACTACTACTACTACTACTACTACTACTACTACTACTACTACTACTACTACTACTACTACTACTACTACTACTACTACTACTACTACTACGACTACTACTACTTATATTAAAACTACTACTACTACTAAGACTACTACTACCACTGCTACTGTTGCTACTACTACAGCCACTACTACTACTACCACTGCTACTGTTGCTACTACTACAGCCACTAGTACTACTACTACTACTACCACTGCTACTGTTGCTACTACTACAGCCACTACTACTACTACTACTACCACTGCTACTGTTGCTACTACTACAGCCACTACTACTACTACTACTACTACTACTACTACTTCTACTACTGCTACGGTTGCTTCTACTACAGCCACTACTACTATTACTACTACTACTACTACTACTACCACTGCTACTGTTGCTACTACTACAGCCACTACTACTACTACCACTAAAACTACTACTACTACTACCACTACCACTACTACTACTACCACTGCTACTACTACTACGACTACTACTACTTATATTAAAACTACTACTACTACTACCACTGCTACTGTTGCTACTACTACAGCCACTACTACTACTACAATTAAAATTATTATTACAACGACTACTACCAAGGACACCACTACGATTAAAATTACTATTACTACACTTAAGACGACTATTATGACTGCTACTACTACTACCACCACTACTACTACCATTAAAACTATTATTCCACTAACTACTACTACATCTGTCGGCTCTGTGGCTAAGTCGATGCGAACGCTTCGCTTCGTAATGCCGGGATGCCAGGTTCGATCCCAGCTGCGGGAAATGCGCCTTGCGTTGGCTTCGACAGTGGTATCAAGAAAGCCGACCGTCCAGTAACAATGGCAAACTACTGGATGTAACTTGCCTAGAGAAACCACACAACAGCCAGGGGCTGTTTGGGTTGGTTCTGCAACGTCCTGTAAAGGATACGCAACTAACTAACTATTACATCTACTACTATGGACATTATACTATCAAAACTGCCACTACAACCACTGCCACTACAACCACGTCTACTTCTTCTACTACTAAAACCCTCTTCCCTCCTTCTTCTCCTCTACCTTCTTATTCTTCTCCTTCGTCTTATCCGCCTCCTCTTCATATTTCTTCTTCTTTTTCTTCTTCTTCTTCTTCTTCTTCTTCTTCTTCTTCTTCTTCTTCTTCTTCTTCTTCTTCTTCTTCTTCTTCTTCTCCTTCTACTTCTTTTTCTCATCCTCCTTCTCTACCTCCATCTTCTTCTTCTTCTTCTTCTTCTTCTTCTTCTTCTTTTCTTCTTTTTCTTCTTCTTCTTCTTTTTCTTCTTCTTCTTCTTCTTCTTCTTCTTCTTCTTCTTCTTCTTCTTCTTCTTCTTCTTCTTCTTCTTCTTCTTCTTCTTCTTCTTCTTCTTCTTCTTCTTCTTCTTCTTCTTCTTCTTCTTCTTTGTTTTCTTCCTTTTGTTAAGCACAGTTTTTTTTTTTCAATGAAACACGACCATATAGTTTGATGACCACTGACACAGTCAGAAGTGCTGATTATATCTTGGATGCTGTTTTTCTTCAGTCGGTGGATCCAGAGGCACGGAATGGGATCATCACTAGCTATCAAATAAGATCGGGACATGAAAGTTGGATCTCTACTACATTTTCAGCAACTGTGATTCTCACCTGTGACCCCGTGTCTGTGGCAATCTTAGCCTTTAACCCAGAAGGGTTTTCCGTTAGTCCAACAATTCTGCTCATTTCATCAAGCACAGGTAAAGTATGGAGCAGGGTTTATAATTACATATTATCAACAGACAGAGTTTAAAAACCTAAAAATGGGGAGGATATACTTCGTGTTGCACCCGGTCTGATCCAATAGGGCTCACTCTCTATAGACAAGACGGTTAGCCGTGTGTTAGGAAAACCATACAAAGCAACAACAGTGACGGTCACTCCCAGGAAACTCGCTAGTTAGGGCACTCTTGTCAGTAAGTAAATGTAAAGGTCCCTTGACACGCCAGTTGCGCATCCGGAAATCAGAATACGATTATATTTTTATAGACCAATCGATGTTTACTTCCCAGGACTTTGCCTGGTACCATTTTAAGACAGAGGTCCACCTGGTAGCAAAGCTCTTGCACGACAAAAATACGGCTTTTGCTTATTCGCACCCTTTACCTGTACGCTACACCTGAGTGGCTGCACTCAGGAACCAAACGAAACAGTCCGCGGAACGAATCATGACCTTCCTTGCACGAGACGGCTTTGCAAAGAACTCCCTGCCTGCGTTATAACAATACGTCTCCATCTGACAATAACGTATCGTTAGCCTAGCTTGGTGACGTCAGCAGCATGGCCCGTCAGATGGAGACGATCTTGGTCATAACTTTACAATAAACGAACATTGATAACTGAGTTTCAGTTCGCTGTGTACTCTAGAGAAGCACAGTGTGAAAATGTAAATAATAATCGTTTATAAAGAGTGCTGCTTCATGTCTGCTGGGGTTCCGCGGTCGTGTGTAAACACATATCGAGGGGGGGGGGGGGGTTAAAATAAAGGGGATGGGGGAGGCTGAAGGCTGTTTCCATGTTCAAATTTTGGTTACGTGGGTTGCCCAGCGTGGTGAAGGTCGTGAGCTAGTTTCCCTGAGTGTGTCATCAGCTATATAGGTGCTGCCCTAGAGAGATTACCGTGACGGTTCTAAATTTCAAGACAGAACAACAACAACAACAAAGCAATAAGCACATAATGAGGGTTAATTTAATGCAAAAAGTGAAGGGAGCAAAAAATGGCGCCCAAACCTGAGCATGAGTGATTCTGTTCGTGAACCTAAAACTAGCACGACAGCCATGTTTGAGCCTTTGTGTGCAAGGAATTGTTCGCGGGTCAATATACTTTAGTTTACTTAGTCGCTCCTCTTCTTGGGTGTAACGGTTTGCCAGAGAGATCGCCAGACTTCTCTATCAGCAGTTTTCTTTCTGGCTTTGTTCCATTCTAGTCCTCTGTCAGTTAGGGACTCTCAGATGTTGTCTTCCCAGCGGACCCTGGGTCATCTTGATGGTCTGGTTCCCTGGTTCCCTGGTTCCCTGGTTCCTCGCCTCCAATGCCTGCCATGATAGCTGATTTTCTCCTTTTTTGCAAACGTGTCCAAAACATCATAACTGTCACTGATCCAATCAGGTGGGTAAAGCCCGAGTTTCAAGATGCTGACGTATTGTCTAATTGCGAGCTTTATCCCTTCTTGTCACTTGGACCACCTTTCTCACATTCCTCATTTCTGATGTCTGAAGCCGGCTTTTGTGACCTGTTGTCACTGTCCATAACTCACACCCATAGGTCAAACTCGGGTCCCTCATGGTGCACATTCCGACGCCCTTGTATACAGGGATCTCAGTTGTCTGTGGTCTAGTATCATTCAGATGATAATTCCAACCCCCCCCCCCCCCCCCCAACCCCTTTTTCCCTTTTCCTTTCCCTTTCAAACCACAAGCCGTATTTCTATTGATTCTTTCAGTGGTATGATGTTCCCCAGAATATTGGAAAGGGGGGTGTAGGGGTAGTTAGTAGAAAGTTAATGTGTCCAATGAAGGATATTTGTGTATGTAATTCCCACTGGCGTCGGCTTTGTGGCTAAGTCGATGCGAACGCTTCATAATGCCGGTATGCCGGGTTCGATCCCAACTGTGGGCCATGCACCTTGCGTTGGTTTCGACAGTGGTATCAAGAAAGCCGACCGTCCAGGTTGCAATGCCAAATTACTAGACGTAAATTTGCCTAGAAAAACCACACAACAGCTATGGACTGTTAGGGTTGGTTCTGCAACCTCCTGTAAAGGATACGCAACTAACCTTATTTCCACTGGCACATGAACAAAACATGTATGGTGACTCATCTGCAGTGAATCTGAAATCCCAGCTGACGACTGGTAAATGGCTAAATACAAAACTCTTCCTTATTACAGTTGCGTAAAACGTTTTACTTTCACTAGCCCTACTGAGCAATCGTTGCTAGTTACTGCGGCACACCAAAGTTGTTTTATGATCATACGGTGCAAGAACCATAATTGAGTATTTTGAAGTCTTAGAAAAGTGTCCTTAACTTGAGCTTGTAATTATATTCCAGTTTCCAAGACGGTACAAAATTCTTTTGTGGTGGAAATTGTAAACATGAATTCTACCACCGAAATACTGAAAGCATCATGGGAAGAAAAGGAGGAAGTCAAAGGTGAAGTGGACTATACCATTTTCTGGTGTAAAGGTCGACTGGAGCAGTTCTGTGAGGTAGTTATTCTCTTCTTTCACTCATTATATTCCAAGCAAATCAACAACACAGTTATTGCGTGTTCCATACTTTAAAAAAAAACTTTTTTCTAACCCTCTGATTAGTTCGTATTTGGTAGATACTAGGGTAAGTAAAATATAATATGCTAAAAATGGGACATTCCGCTAACATTTTGAGCTAAAAACGGAATATCCCAAGCAAGTCAGTTTTATAATTCAGCCTTTATTTTAGGAAGACATCTGTAAGTAAGATCACTTTCGGCATTTCAGTTTCTCAAAGGTTTAACATATCAAGATGAGTGCGGTGTGGTGTTGTATTGGTGACAACTTTGGTACTTGAGTGTTTGTGGGGGGGTGGGGGAGGGGTTGCGCTCATCCAACAACTCGAAACGTGATGAAGGACGACCCAGCCCGGTCACCCAGTACAGGAAGTAATGGGCACGACAAACACGACTCCCACCCAGACATCAAATAAAGAACTGGACTTCCGGGCAGCATGTAGTATAGGCAGGTTAACTGATCTTAGCTGTGGCAAGTATTTGTTACTATGGACATTCCGTGGGGTTTTGGTTGGCAGCTATGATGTGACCGTTTGCTATAAAGCTGAAACTGGAAGCACCTCATAACTCAATTATCAACAGATCACAGTACTCACAAACCCGGCAGCAAAACCAGCAGTCTAGACACACAAAAACAACCCTCCATATGTAGACTGAAAGGATCTTAATCTGTCGTCCAGCTTCAGTGCCGAGTGCCTGGTGCGACACTGTGAGCTGTGGATTTCAAATGAAATAATATTCGACTGCTCGATGTGGTTTGTGTTGTGAATTGTAGATTCAGAATATGGCAAACGGGTTGTTGCCACATAACTGGTGGTGCCTTATGTGAATTATCGCGTGTGCAACAACTGATCCGTTGTAACTGCTGCTTCCATCGGCGATGGACTGCATTTTTAGTGTCGGTCTGTTTGTGTAGGCACCTCTAACAGCTGCCTTAAGCAATTACTGCTTGTCATGATAATAGCTTCGCTGAGACAGCAGACTGTGTCAACTTGTCCACAAGTGACAGTGATAGACAGTCTGTGGGGTTTTCGTTGGCACAGTAGTAGAGCAACCATGCGGTGACCCGTTTGCTCTGAAATTGAAACTGCAGTTACCTCGTACTTCTGTAGAACTGGAATTCAATGAAAACATATCTCAGGACTAACTATTTCTGCAATAAAACCATCGCAATGGACACACAACACCATCACAGCATAAATTAGGAGGTTGAGCAATCACAAAAGAGCACCATTAGGACCAAAGTAAGGCACCCAGACATGCGAATTTGGACAATACAACACACAAGTAAGCACACAAGGCCGTGCACAGTGGTGCTTTAAAACCTTGTTGGTTCGTAAATGTCGCTTTAATTTTGATTTAAATATTGACTTGAATCAACATGATAGTCGTCATTGTGAGGCAGGGAAACATCTGACCTGGTTGGTGCCCTCTCCTTCCAGACGCGCTATTGGCCCGATGGCCTAAAACCTCACGGCTTCAGTTTTCCAGCGTGCATGACGAGGAGGTGGGGTTGACCTCGGTGCTCTACGGGTGGTTAGCAGGCGACTTAAATTTCATTTTTTTGCCACTCCGAAGAGAAGCTAGCAAATATCAATAGTGCTGGATGCAGTGGTAAGCGCTTAAGCGCACCCTTAAACGCCAAAGTGACTTATTACATGAGATAATTTCGTCCTCTTAAAATCTGCTTTCACTTGGCCACAGCCGTTCTCCAATTTCTGTCCCACATCATGTTAGGATATTGACTGCTTAACCGTTTACTTTTCTATTGTAATATTGTCTCCATATAGTACTGAAAAATTATTACCCAAATCCCACCCAGGGTGAAATCCAATGGAGTGAAGTGCCGGCCGGTGATACAGAGTTTAGTATCCTTATTGAAAGTTCTCATGCAGTAGAGTACATCTATGGTATATCCGGGACAAACACACACACGGGGATTGCTTCGAGTGTGTTCTGGACTCCATGTTTATTCCGGCGAGTTCCCTGTGAGTACTCTCCGACACTGTGTTCTGTTTATCTGTCGCATGTGTTATTTTATGCTCTCTTGTTACTGTCTATCCTGTACCAGTGTGGAGTTACAAAATGCATAGCTGTGTTTTCTCTGATCCACTCCACTTTGCTGACTACGCCAGGCCATGAGGTCGTCAATGGTGTCAGATTTAGCATTACAAATTATATTACCAGAAAGGGTTCATTTGACATAAGTCTCCCCAAACAGATTAGGCCACTTTTAATTCACAAGTTTATTGGGCTGGCCGACTTTCCTGAAGTTTACGGGTGTGTACTGCTCTGTTGTTGGGTTTCTGCGACATTTACGTTTTCTTTCCGAGAGAGAGAATGCTTGTGCTGTAGGTTGCAGCACTCTCTAAAGGGGGCGGGGGGTTTGTGTTAGACCCAGTTTCTCCATGTTTTTGAAGTGTTAAAAGCGCTGGCTTGCTGAAATATAAAACATGCGATATCAACAGCATTGCGGAACAACCCCATAATCTTGTGCGAAGACCACGGGGCTCAGGAACTACCAATCAGAAGTAAGCTAGTATGTATATGGACGGGGTCTGGGGAGACTAACATCAGTTTTACCCAAGTAAGTAGTACCAACAGCAGCAGGTGATAGTGGTGGTGGTAGTGTTTTTGTAGCTACTACTACTACTAGTAGTAGTAGTAGTAGTAGTAGTAGTAGTAGTAGTAGTAGTAGTAGTAGTAGTAGTAGTAGTAGTAGTAGTAGTAGTAGTAGTAGTAGTAGTAGTAGTAGTAGTAGTAGTAGTAGTAGTAGTAGTAGTAGTGGTAGTAGTAGTAGTAGTAGTAGTAGTAGTAGTAGTAGTAGTAGTAGTAGTAGTAGTAGTAGTAGTAGTAGTAGTAGTAGTAGTAGTGTATGTACGTATTGTAGTTAGTAGTAATAGTATTAGTAGTGTTGTAGCAGCAGTGACCTAGTATGTTAGTAGTACTATTCAAGTTGAGTAGTGGCGGTGGTGGTAGTAGCAGTAGTGGCGGTGGTGGTAGTAGCAGTAGTGGCGGTGGTGGTAGTAGCAGTAGTGGTAGTAGTAGTTGTTGGAAGTGTTCATACTGATCTTGTGGCGGTGACCGTTGTAGTTGCTGCACATGACTATTGTCCTGCCTATGCCCAGACACACTGCCACCAATCACTGCCATGAACGTTAAAAGCCTGAAGGACAGCGTCTACGTCACTTGGTCAGCGGACAGCTGCTACTATCAGTCCCAGGTCCGGTACACCAGTTTTGTGGTCAAGTGGTGCCGGACAGATGCCTGCAATGGTCAGTTTTCTTATACTACAGGTGTTATGTTGTTGTTTGGATACTGAAAATATGCACACGCACACACACACACACACACACACACACACACACAGCATGTAGCGCACCACACCCTCCCCCACAATCCCACACACATTAACTGTTTGGTCTTTTGCATATTATAATTGATAAATTTCCAAATATATTTATAATACAAGGACAACCTTTTTTTATTTAATGAAAACCATTGTTAATTATCTGTTATGATTTTTATGCAAGGAATGTTTAAATACTGAGAGCAAGTATCTTGTCAATATACGAATGCGAGTCTGGAAGATCTGAACATCAAGGAAGATTTGCTAATAAACAGCATCTTGTCCCGGAAGCTGAATTATTTTCATCATATAAAGCGCCCTGGCGGACTGGGGAAAATATATATATATATATATATATGTTTTTTTTTATATATATCCGGAAACCATGAGTTGTTAACCCTTTGGCTCGGTACTATGGATACCGCACCCCTTCAGCCTTGATTCCATGATAAACACCGTTAATCTGGGAGAAATGTGGCTTTTCAGCCTACCCTCGGGCGCGAACCCGGACCATAAGGAGTTTGACACCCGGTCGCCGCCAAGTCAGGTTTAGCCAACTACGCTAGCGAGCCGGGCGTTAAAAAAAATAATAGCAGAAGGTATGGTACCAGGAGGGAGGGACAAGGGGTCGACCAACACGAAGATGAGTGAAAGATATAAGTGACTCCTTGAATATAAAAGAATACGAAGAGAGCGGGCGAGAGAGTCCCCCCCCCCTCCCCCACCCACCCCCCCCCCTTTTCCAGTCAGATGGTGATGACAGCGACGTTCTGTAAAGGACCTGATACTTGATGATGATGATCTACATGAGTACCATTATTTTGAACAAATATTTTTCTGTGTGTCCTCCACTGCTGAAGAGAGTCTATAAACACACTTGAAGTGCTTGTGAAGGCGTTGGTGATATTTGTATTTTTCTATTGTATGAAAACTTACGAGACACCGTAAAAATTTCAAAATTCCATTTAAAAACCAGTCTAAGTCTCCCACTAATGGAGCATTGAACTTAACTGGATCAGTCAGGGGTCAAGCTGTCGTGTCTTGGTTAAAAACAAATTTTAAAACATTAAGGGTTAGGAGGTAGCAACCTCTGATTGGGCACAGTCCATGCAATCCACCTTTGATTTTTTTTTTTTTTCAAACTGCTCACTGCGACCCCTAAAGCTCTAGGGTTTTCTGCGTCGCCTGCCCCCACCTCTCACAAACACATAGCCACAAAGGACCCAGAGCAGAGCTGGTCTCCTGCCTCTACTGAGCTTAAAAAAGGCCAGAAAAGGCTAAATCTGGCAATGCACTACTGCTCGCTTGAGCGTTGGACATCGTTTCTTGCTTTTATTATGTCATAGTGTCTCGTTGCTTTCTTCTCTGTTTTCCATCTGTGTCGTGATCAGTATAGCTTAAGTAAAAAACCAGCCACATTTTTGGGTCCCTAATTATCATCATCATTTTTGGGTCCCTAATTATCATCATCATTTTTGGGTCCCTAATTAGCATCATCATTTTGGGTCCCTAATTATCATCATCATTTTTGGGTCCCGTTGATTATCACAGGTGCTGACACACGAATGGGATAGACCGGTGAAGTATCAGTGCATCCGATGTGTGTGTCAGAACATGTGATAATCAACGAACACTTACACATAACACCACAATGTTTACAGTTTAACAGAGATAAACCATCATTGCTATTAATGTTTTTTTTTAAAACCGTAAGCACTCCAAAACATGTATTATTTTATATTATTGATTCCACCGTCTCAGATGCAAGTCAAATATCAAATGCAACGGTGCCTGTGAGACAGTTAACCTACACCGTGTCATCGCTTCCAGCTGGGGTCAACCACAGTTTCACCGTCCAGCCGATGTCGTACAACACACCCGGTAGAGAAGTCGATCCATGGAAGGTGGCTGTTCCCTCGGCTACAGATCCGGGTATGTATTTAAAATAGGTGCTAACTGCTGTCCTGGTGGTATAAATAAATGTATACTATAGTCTGATCCACAAGTCTTCCCCAGCTTTACAAACCTCCAACTCAGAACCGTTTGGTGTGAGTTGTTGACATTTGGCCTGGAACCTGTTTGTAATCATGTCCTTAAAAGAATTTTTATTTAAATCTAAACAAACATCTAGTTTCATTGTGGCTTATTTATGGGATAGCGAAAACAGGGACATCGTTTCAAAGCAACCAATCAACACGCTGACCGTTAACCAAGTAACCGGAACTTTTTGAAAAACCAAAGTGCGCGCGTTTCATTGGCGCCTCACTTTCAGGTCATCATCTCCAGCATTAGTTCCCTGTGAGTTGTGGATATTTCATTGTATGCGGGATAGGCTACAAAAATAATACCGATGCATCACTGCACATTTGAAAGGATTTCCAAACAATCTCTAAGCGCGTGTGTGTTAATCAGTGTATAATCTATTGTTAGTGGCACACCAATTATTAGGCAAATAAAGATCAAAGAAAATCACCGATTTAAGAAAACAGAAGCCTCTGTGTAATTGTAAATTATGAAATCAAAAGAACATGGGACATCTGAGGCCACGTGTGAAACATGGGACATCTGAGGCCACATGTAAAACATGGCCATCTGAGGCCACGTGTGAAACATGGGACATCTGAGGCCACGTGTGAAACATGGGGCATCTGAGGCCACGTGTGAAACATGGGACATCTGAGGCCACGTGTGAAACATGAGACATCTGAGGCCACGTGTGAAATATGAGACATCTGAGGTCACGTGTGAAACATGGGACGTCTGAGGCCACGTGTGAAACATGGGACATCTGAGGCCACATGTGAAACATGGGACATCTGAGGCCACGTGTAAAACATTGGCCATCAGAGGCCACATGGGACATCTGAGGCCACGTGTGAAACATGGGACATCTGAGGCGACATGATACATCTGAGGCCACGTGTGAAACATGGGACATCTGAGGCCACGTGAGAAACAGGGGACATCTGAGGCGGCATGGGACATCTGAGGCCACGTGTGAAACAGGGGACATCTGAGGCGGCATGGGACATCTGAGGCCACATGTAAAAACTTTCAATAATTCGTACAAAAGTTTTCGAGGTATTTGTTTAAGGGTGGGGGTATAACTTTTGAAACTCACTATAATATTACTATTTTATTTCCCTATTTGTGGTTTCTTTCGCAACATCTCTTCCGATTCCTTCATTTTATATTCTATTATAGTTATCACTTGGTTTTAAAGTGATGTGCCTGGTGGGCAGGATTTATCATCTTTTTGCCCCGTTGTGCTATTCATCCATTAAGACTTTTCTGAACGTTCTGTTGTTTCTGTTTATGTTGTTGTTCCCCTGCACTTTAACTCGGGAAACACATGCATGCAGAAGGATATATCGGTGGAAAGACGCACATATCGCAGCTATATTGTAAACTGGCACAACCCATTTATGTCTTATGATGAGCACAAACGAAGAAGCAGAACAAGGAATAGGAGTAGAAGAAGAAGAAGAGGAAGAAGAAGAAAAATAAGAAAAATAAGAAGAAGAAGAAAAAAGAAGATTTAATGTTTACTTTTTGCAACACACTGTAGACGTAACCACACACCTCTCAATAGCTGAACAAAATGGTGGGTAGCTTACTGTCTGTTGACCGTATGGCGATGCCGTTTTTCTAGATCACAAATGAATGTTGCTCTATTTCAAGACTTTGCCTAATTGATGCTGTTTTTGTCTCGGCCATAATAGACTCAGTCTCATTAGTTCAGTATCAGACGATGTGTAAATGTGAGACAATGTGTCAGTGAGTTCGTTCAATTTTGCAGGAGTCACTTTGAATGTGTGTGTGTGCGTGTGTGTGCGTGCGTGCGTCCGTGTGTGTGTGTGTGTGTGTGCATGCGTTTGTGCGTGCGTGTGTGTGTGTGTGTGTGTGTAGGAGAGAGAGAGAGAGACAGAGAGAGAGTTTGTGAGAGCTAGAGTGAAAATAAGTGGACCGAGTAAATGTGAGTGGATGTCGGCGGGAAAATATTTCTATGTGGCAATTACTGCAGCCCCCCCCCCCCCCCCCCACCACAGCCCTTCCCATTCCCCCTCCCTTCTGAACTGATGTAATGCTGAGGCGCCACCTTAAAGAAATCACCAGGGGAGTGGGTGCTCAGCCTTTTAATGACGGAAGAGAGATCTCTGGAGGGGGGAGGCTTAATCCGTATCTACGTGTGCAATGGTGCTAATAATTACTATTATTGTCAGTAATAATATTAGCAGTAATAACAAGTATTATTCTTATTATTATGTGCACAATGATAAATTGATATACTATTATTCTTGAAATAGTATGAAGCGTGTCAAGAATGCATCTACACTGTTGGCGGATGAGAGCACTTAGGCCCTTTGCAAATCTTCAAGTGGGGTTTTTTTTCCCGACGGATTAACACATGGGACACGGGTGTAACCCCTAAGTGCTCCGTTCTACTTCTAGCTCAAGTTTGACAACGTTGCTCTGATTCCTTAAACATTAAATAAGCTGTCTGGGCAGCCAGTTTCCAGGGTCTATGCTACAACTGTAATATTATTATTCTCAACGTCTCTAGTTGTAGATTCCAATCTGACTGCTGTGCTGGGTGGACTTGCTAGCGGCGTTCTTGTCGTTACGGTGGTCACCTTTGTCTGCCGGTAAGTTCAACGATCGTATTATATTTGTAACACCCTGGCTTTTCCCCCCTACTGACAGTTCGCAATACTCTCTTTTTAAGGCTTGATTATTCCAACACTACTGTAGTGGACAGGTACTTATTTCCCCAGAAGAAGAAAATCCTTATATTATGTTTAACTGTTGAAAGATGTAATCTGTTTCACCCGCCGCCTTTCATCGTGAAGAATAAGCATTCAACCAATTCACTCTAAGCAATGGTCCAGCCAGAGGAGATAACGGATGAGCAACTGCCCGTTGCTATAGTACCTGTCCGTTGCTATAGTACCTGTCCGTTGCTATAATACCTGTCCGTTGCTATAGTACCTGTCCGTTGCTATAGTACCTGTTTCGCCGTTACTGGTTAAAAGACAGAAATGTATTCGTCACTCCTATCTTTTCTCTCATAAAAAATGCATTCACTATTTCGGTTTCATAGACAATTTAGTCGCCATTCCTGTATCACACACAATTTAGTCACTATTTCTGTTTCACAGACTGTTTCTGATTCACAGATAATGTATTAACTAATTCGGCTATCCTCCGAATAACAGTCCTAAATTATCAAGGCGGAAAATATACCCTAACAGGGCCTCAGTCACGTGTCAATTGCGCACTTCCGTCGTCTTAAATTGCGCGCTTCCGGCGACATCCGCCACCGCCGAGAGTATCACAAACGCCGCGTGGATTGGGGTTAAACTAGATGGCTAGGAGCAGCAGCTACCGCATCTCCTCCAGCTTCCTTTATTTTATTTGCTTGCGAGTCCCAGCCATCTAGTTTAGCCCCAATCCACGCTGCGTGAGCAGCATGAGGGATACTCTCGGCGGTGCCGGAAGTTCGCAATTCGGAGGTGACGTTATAGTCCCCAGAAGTGCGCAATTGACACGTGACTGAGGCCCTGTTAGGGTATATTTTCCGCCTCGATAATTTAGGACGGTTATTCTGAGGATAGCCACTATTTCTGTTTCACAGATAATGTACTCACTATTTCTGTTTCACATACTATTTCTGTTTTACACACAATGTATTCACTATTTCTGTTGCACATACTAATACTGTTTTACAGACAATGAATTCATAATTTATGTTTCCCAATGTATTTCTGTTTCACATACAATATATTCAATATTTCTGTTGCACACACTATTATTTTTTTTACAAACAATGTATTCACTGTTTCTGCTTCACTGACAATGTATTCACTGTTTCTGTTTTACTGACAATGTATTCACTGTTTCTGTTTCACTGACAATGTATTCACTGTTTCTGTTTCACTGACAATGTATTCACTGTTTCTGTTTCACTGACAATGTATTCACTGTTTCTGTTTCACTGACAATGTATTCACTGTTTCTGTTTCACTGACAATGTATTCACTGTTTCTGTTTCACTGACAATGTATTCACTGTTTCTGTTTCACTGACAATGTATTCACTGTTTCTGTTTCACTGTACTGATGATTTCTTGTTGCCTGGCAACATTCACTCTCTATTTACATTTGTCTGTGCACAGTCAGCATGTTCATTTTGTTGTTGTTGTTGCAATTATCACAGATGTTGTCAGAAGCGTAGAGCCAAGATCAAGAAATTAGGAGACACCTTGGTAAGATCTCTGTCAGTATTAATAACTAATACGCTTATATATGGATATACAGAAACATGAACCTAATTTCACTAAAAGAAAACAAGACTGATGTTCTAAATAGATCGAACAGGGGGGGGGGAGTGTGCCATGTAGATGCTGTTAATGTGAAAATATGGCTATGTCTGATTTTTTTAAAGCCAAGTGGATGTCTTATTTTCTCCTAAGCCTCAGTGACTGAGGTCACCAGGTCACAACATGAGTTACATGACACAGTTTAGTTTTTTTAATGCCCTCGGAATTTATTTCATTTAATGTTTCACTCTTTCATGTTTACTGATTACTCCTTCATACATTTTCATATATTTCACACATAAAACATTTGAAATATGGATCTATAAACTAAAAAAAAAATATTATAAGTCACTTGTGTAACATAGCCTTTTTAATATGTTTTCCCCCCACAGGGCAAATGGGTTAATAAAAATGTTTAGAAATATATGTTAAGCAAACAGTAGCAATCCTTTAAAGAGAAGTCGCTTATTATCAGAGTTAAAAGATTTTGCAAAGTGCAGAAAAGAGGGACCATGTCACTTAGCAGGGCACTGGATGTTGACTATTAGATTCATTTTATGCTGTTATTAAATTCCTACTATGCTGTTGTTAGATTCATATTATGTTGTTGTTAGATTTTATATGATGCTGTTATTAGATTTATATGATGCCATTTTCCCGTGTGGGTTCTGTGGTCTCATTGTGGTGAAAACAAGAACAGACCCATGCCTCCCCAACAAGCGTGTCGTAAGAGTCGACTAATTGGGGAAAAGAGGGGGGGGGGGTTTCTTTGAGTACATCTGCCTGAGAGGCAAGGAGCCAACAGTCTGCATACAAATAAGTAGGACCTGTAAAACAGATGTGCAGACAACACTCAGGTTCTGGAATAAGTGTAAAGTCCAGATGTGGATGAACAACCAGAACTTTCCGCCGAAGTTTACAGCCGATGAATGACAAGAGAAAGAAGAAGATATTATGTCATTTGTTTTGTTGAGAATACATACTGAACAATTGTACACTGGCTTATGGTTTATACTTGCAGATTGTACACCTCCCAGGCAGGTCTGTGTCAGAACTGGGGTCACCCCTTGAATGAACTGGCATTAACAGCCACACAAAATGTCCAGCCAATAAGTCTGCATTCCCAGATAGTGAAAATTACATATCTTTGCCTGGTGAATCAGACAGTGGTATGACTTCAAGATCAGAAAATGGATACAGTCAGTTCCTCAGGATTGAGTCTGAAGTCTGCAACTATGTGCAAGGTCAGGAGTCTAGACTGCTGGGTCACAATACAACATCCGAGGACTTGAGGTATGGGCCACACCCAAACATGCTGCCTTCAGAGACTGAGCCACATGCAAGACCACCATCAAATGGTTACAGCAAATTTATGGGGAGTGGACCTGAAAACCACAACAATACACAGAATCAGGATTATAGGCAATCAGAGCAAAATACAGAAGTAGAGCTTGAGAATCCACTGCATTTTTGTCTTGAGTCTTCAGATAAAGTTTCACATACAAGATCAGCATCAAACAGATACAGCAGAATCACTGGAAATAAACCTAACGTCTGCAACAATGCTGAAGTTCACAGACCTGGACAAGCAGAAGATTCCACATCAGCAGATCCTGAATATATGCCACGTCAAGGATTTCTGTCTTCAGATAAAGAGTCTCTTACAAAATCAGCATCAAATAGTTACAGCAGAGTCACTGGTTTTGAGCCTAAAGTCTGCAACAAGGCTGTATATCATACGTCTAGACAAGCAGAAGAAGCTTCAACTTCCACAGATCCTGGGTATATGCCACACCCAAGCTTTGTATCTTCGGACAAATCATCAGACACAGAAACACCACCAAACAGCTATAGCAGAGTTACAGGAAATGAACCTGAAGTGATTACCGGTCCTGAGATCAACAGTAATGCTGAATATCATACGTCTAGACAAGCAGAAGAAGCTTCAACTTTCACAGATCCAGGGTATATGCCACACCCAAGCTTTGTATCTTCAGACAGATCATCAAACACAGAATCACCATCCAAACAGTTATAGCAGAGTCACAGGAAATGAACCCGCAGTGAGTAACAGTCCTGAGGTCAACAGTAATGCTGAAGAATATCATACGTCTAGACAAGCAGAAGAAGCTTAACTTTCTCAGATCCAGGGTATATGCCACATCCAAGCTTTGTATTTTCGGACAGATCATCAAACACAGAATCACCACCAAACAGTTATAGCAGAGTTACAGGAAATGAACCCGAAATGATTACCAGTCCTGAGGTCAACAGTAATGCTGAATATTGTATGTCTAGACAAACAGAAGAAGCTTCTTTACCAACAAATCCTGGGTATTTGCCATATCCTGGTCTTTTGTCCTCAGATAAGGAAAATGTGTCTACTGAGGGTACTTCTGCACCCCCTGAAAGACCCAGGACGGTTGCTGGTGACTTTTTCTATGTTTGATATAAATGAACTTTGTGGAGACTACAATGAACAGGAGGAGATATATAAAGGGAAGTTGTATGATAATGTAACAGACAAAATATCATTTGAGGAAACACTTGTGTAAGATCTGGACAGAAATCTCAACCATCGGCTACTGAAAGATCTGAGTTAGATGATGACAAAATTACTGGAAGAGTCTGTGAAAGACTTGCGTTATGAGATAATCACATAACTACCTCAACAGACCCTGAGTAGCACACTGTTGTGCCCTCCATGATCCTCGGAACTGAGAAGTGCAGCGGACACTCTGGAGGGCCTAACATCAACCCAGCAAATATCGATGAAAGAAGAGCCTCTTCTGATGAGTCAGATACTGACAGCAGTAGCCGTTTTCTCATTGGAATGCAGATAATCACAGAAACGCATCTCTAAAACAAAGTAGAATTTTCACAGCAAAGTTCTCTTTTGCAAGATGAAAAACATCTTTCTGGAGACAGAAGAAGCAGTGATTCTTGTAAGAAAATGGGTGATGAATCAATTTATGGAACATATACCTCTGCATCAATGTGAAACATGGGTATTAAGCAGAAAAGCTGAAAAAACAGAAATGTCATTTTGGAGAAAAATGAAAAAATCTAATGACAGGACAAGAAAGCATTCAGTAGTCCTACAAGAAACAGATGAAACAGGAAAATTTGGGGTTTTATTATGAGGAAAAGCAAACTCAGAATACTTAGTGGCAACTAGCAAATTTGTTAGAAAAAGAGAAATAAGAAGAAGAAAAATTATAAATACCCTGATCTGAAACTTTGGTGATCATTTGAGATGTCAAACTATGACCATAATCCTCTGTCCCGTGGAAGCTAATCCACTGATTAGCTAATCCCTTCCAGAACAAGTCAAATCCTTTTTTAAATGTTTCTTTGACACATATTCATCTGTAACATAATCTCTTGTACCAGGGGCATTATTAATTACAACACTGTAAACGATGTAACCACTTGTATAGATTTATGATGAAATGATGTATATACGTTTGTGTGTGTAATGTAATCTTGTATACACTTTCTCACTGACCCATGTGGGATGACGTTTAGGATAAAATTCTGAGTTTCTCATGTCTGTGTATGTGTTTGCGTGTCTGTGGGTGTGTGTCTGTGTGTGTGAATGTCTGCGCATGTTTCTGCGTGTGTGTCTGTGGTTGTGTGTATGTGTCTGCGTGAGCATCAGTGTGTGTGTGTGTGTCTGTGTGTCTCCGAGTGTGTCTGTGTATCTGTGTGTTTGTGCATATGTGTTAGAGTCTGCGTGTGTGTGTGTATGCCGGTTTGTCTGTGTGTCACATGTGTGTGTCTGTGTGTGTGATTGGGTCTGTATGTCTGTCTCTGTGTGTGTCTGCATTTGTTTCTGTGGGTGTGTCTGCGTGTGCGTGTGTATATCTGAATGTGTGTGTGTGTGTGGAATGTGAGTGTCTGTGTGGGTATGTAGGTATGTATGTGGGTGAATGGGGGTGTGTTTATGTGTGCGTGAAGGCATGTGGGTGTGTTTAAGTGAATGGGGTGTGTGTGTGCGTGCGCTAGTGTGTGCATGCATTTTACCACCCATGCTTTTGTGCTTTTTCTTTTTCTTTTTTGATATTCATAATATGCATATCATCATATGAATATAACATGCTTTTTGATAAAATACAGCTGCAGTGTAAAAGACGGGTGTTTTGAAGGGCCGAATGTAAGAAGGGCCTGCGTGCCCAATTTGTGACCCTTTGAAAATAAAGTTTGTTCGTTTGTTCTGTCATGCATGTTTGTAAACTATATGCTATTTTTCTTAGTGTTCACGGGCTGTAAACTCTGGTAGAAAGTTTTGGTTGTTTGACCACTTCTGGTTTTGCTCAAGAACTTAGGTTTTGAGTGCACATCCAGTTGACAGATGTGGTTTCATTGCCAGAAAACAGTGTTTCCCACCTCCGGTCCAGATAGACTCCAACTTTCCAGGAAACATCTCTAACTTGTCTCCTTTAAACACGTGCTTATTATTAGGTGGGACAGCGGCAACACCCCGGGCAACGGCTTTGACAGGCCGGCAAAACCAGGTGAGGGTAGCCGATGCTCCTTTCTATCGGTGAGTTATGATCTGCCTATCCAAGCATGCAAAGACTACTGTCGGCAGAATGCACGAAGGAAACCATATTTGGTTCAACGGGCAGGACGGCGACACTAGCAAAGCGCTGTGGAGCGCATAGAGCATGGCAAGGCACGTAGAACGCCCTCGTCATCCACTGCATTTAGACATATCTCCAGTCGTCCTGACTCTGTCTTGCCACTGGACCCAGATATGACTTAGGCGAGAGAGAGTGAGGTCGACGACACTGCGCAACTCCTTCTCACTTTAATCCAAGTCACAGCGCAAGTCGCTCTTTCATCTTCACTTGATAAAAAAGAGTGGTCATCATCATCTTGATGGACAACACACAATACACACATTATTAGGTGGGCAGCAAGTCTATTCTTGTTCACCCACCACAACGAAGCGCCAGAACCAACCCAGGAATACCAATATAGTACATACAATGTTCACTCACATTGCTCCAATAACATCAGACAGACGATGTGGGAGATAATAGCTGTAAACTCGGGAATCTCCGTGGCGAAGTGGTCAAGTCGTTTACCTCGCGCTCTGAAGATCATGGGTTTGTTTCGCGGCTGTTTCATTCAGTTCACTAGTGCAATTTTTATGGAGATCCCTGAGGATCATCACCGGAGCTAGAGAGTTTGTCATTGTGCGATGCTCTCAATAGGCCGCTAGCCCTTCTGGAGACAGAAAAAAGCACCCTGAGACGACCTCAAGTTCTGGTGCCCCTGCCTTCACCACTTGAGAGGTGATGGGGTCAACAGCCTTTACTTCCCATGACGTTCTTCCTGGTACTCATTTGAAGCTGGGTCAATGCTTGAGCCCTTGATTAAGTTAAGTATTTTAAAAATATGTCCCGCTGAGGATTTCGAACCAAATCATGCTAGCAGGGAAGTGTCTAGTAAGCAGGTATCAAGGCACTGGAAGACGGTTCAAGTATTTATTAAATCTTGCAAGTTGGAGATTGGACTGATAGAATCACCTGTGCTAAATGGCAAGAAATTTGATAAAGTTTCCTAAATGATTCTCATTTTTTCAGTGAATTTTAGTAAAAACAAGTAGCGTATGTTCACTTTTCAACAGTATAATCATAAAAACAGCCTTCAACAACAAATATAAACAACACAAAAGATAGGAATGACACTAATATAACTTCATTTAGGCATAACTGTATTAAGTAATTATGTACAGTAATCATTTTTTAAAAAGAAATGAAATAGAATACATGTACTTGACTAGGTAACTGGTTGATTCCAAAAATCAGAAAAGACTCGATGGAAACTTTGCATATAAAGGCTGATGTGGTGGGCAGTGTGGCGGTGATCTGTGACTGAATATAAGTTTTTCCCTCATGTGGGTTCCTTGGCCACATTAGGGAGGGTGGGGGGGGGGGGGGATAGACCTACTGCTTCTTTCTTCCTACTGACATTACTTCTATCTTTTCGATGTTGATTCTTGCATTATTTGATTTACATTTTTAATCCATGGATGTGAGATGTTGCAAATTCATGGCTGTATCT